GCCCACGAATACGGGTATGGTGCCTACAAATCTGAAACTAGTCGGGGCGCCTCAAGATTCGATCCCGATTTCTTTCCCATGGTTTTTCCCATGTGTTGCGAAATAGTGTCCGATAGGTTTGTGACAGTGCCGTGACATTACGGCGAAAATAGCGTAATGATATCGCAAAAATGTCGAAACATTGCCGTGAAATGGAGATTAATTTAAATGACATGCTGTATCGCATTTGTTGCGCGAATGGTGTCCCAATGGTGCCACAAAAGCGGCTCAATATTCGCACACAACAGTTTACAGATACTCGGAATCAAAGATACAAAAGTAAGCTCAGCATTTCCTGCATTATATAGTAAGCATGTGTAGAATAGTTTTTAAATATTTTATCAAATTATCAAGCTTCATACGGTCATTTCTTGATGGGTTTTTTGTCTGCATTTATGCAACATATTCCCAGGAGCCTTGGAATGATGTTTTGCAGCAAGAGTTAAAATCGTTATCACCTTAGTGACGGTGTAAAAAAAAACGGGATCCTTGGAATGATGTTTTTTTGCAGCAAGAGTTAAAATCGTTATCACCTTAGCGACGGTGTAAACAAAAAACAACACACACTCAGCATTGACATCGGCTTGTAACGTTCGCTAGCGGCCATAGGATGTAGGTAAGTGCAAATATTCGTCAATATAATTATCCCTGGGTTTCATGTCAACTTAATTTAATGTACCTACATGTTCAGTTTTTCCATTCTCCAAGCGGACATAAACATATGATACAAGACTGGACTGTTGGTACAATGTTCCTCGGTGTATACGCAGTGTTTCTATGTTGCCAAACACGCATTTTCTATGGTGTGACGTGCAGCAATAATCTCCTTTCATCGGACCACTGGATATGTCGTCACGTGCTCAGATCCCTATGCAGTCGAACCATGCATCAAAGTCAATCAAAGTCTCCCCAGTGGCTCTGTATGACATACGTGTGTCATGCAAGCCATGGTAACATGACTGTGCTGGTTAAACAATTGACAATTGTCACTTTTTATACCTTGCATTCCTGAAACGCGAGGGTATCATGCTTCACGTTCATGTCTGTGCTTGGGCGACAGAGTCAGTTATTGGTATGCCTTTTCTCAAGATCGATAGCCATTCGATATATTAATGTCTTGAAACTTTTATTTTTATAGACGGGTATATCACTGTTCTTAATTTTGTCATAGAATGATTAATTTATTTCAATCTATTCTGACACACATATCCACACTGAAAGTTCGTACGTTTTAATTAATTCAAGATATTAGAAAATTATATGTTTTTAAGACAGAAAAAAACACCCACATACATTATATATTTACACACGTATTCATGGGTACTACAACTTTTGATGTTATGAATAATAAACAATACTAATTTTCAATCTCTATAATTATATAATGATGATTGTATTAACATTGCAACATTACTTCTGCATCAAGTATGCGTTGACAATAATCAGCTGATTGTATCAAATAAAGCTCCTTCTTAATTCTATCTAACCTGCTTTTTATGTTTCCTTATTTTAAGCTTATGTTTCAAATTCCCACACAAATGAATTAAATGTTTTTCTCTCTTTTTTCTCTCTTTACATTACTAGATATCTGCACTGTGCAATGTTATAATTTTATTTAATATTATCTTCTGAGGTAACATTTTCCAAAATGAGCGGGTGTCATTTATCTGTAAATAAGAAACATTTTTTTTTTGCATTTTGAAGTGATTACTATTATAGAATTTTAGGAGTGTTTTTTTATAATATCGACTACTGTTTAAAAGTTGCGTTTTGATCTATAAACTTCTATGTTATTGTTTTCTTTTATTCCGTTTTGCCTACTGATCTTACAGCAGACAAAGTAGTATCGTTTATTATTCATAAGATGAAAACATGTGGTACCCATGAATATGTGTGTATGTATATAATGTGTGTGTGTGTATAACAATTTCTAATATTTAAAATTAAGAAAATACCAATATTATATCAAGTCTTTGATATCAAGTTCTCAATATAGTGTCTATCTTTTATTTATCTAATTGAAGTGTCGCCATGGTAGTAAGCCATCAATTCATAAACCTTGTTTATACATAATGCTCCAATTAACTCTTTCAAATATCAAAATAGATTTAAGTGATTGCCATTTCTTTTATTTATATTTTTGTTTTTATTATGATGTGCACTTAATGAAAATATTTCTCACTTCTCTCAGTTATATTACTGATAAATACTTGTGTTGCTGTCAAAATACACAATATTTTCCTGACGAACTTTAATTTACTTTGCATATGACATTCACATTTCGCGTAAAGCATCGTCTAGCCACTGTACTGAACTGCATGCATATAGCCTGAACGGCGATTATACAACATAGATTTTAGTACCTATATAATTAAGTATACCTCAGTTTCAAAAGTATGATGTTCAGACATCAAAGGCAGCACTTTAAGTGCCCATTGCAAAACGTCAACAAAGCGACCTCGAATGAACGATCAGCTGATCCCACTGCCTCGGTTCGAAAGGCTATGAGGTGGTTAACTGTTACAATACAATCAGTCGTGGTCATCCCTGCTGTATCATATAACCACGGAACATCTATTTCAGGACATGGTAAAAGATAGATCATTGTCTAGTGGAAAAGATATACTGTCTACACACCAGCCTGACCGTTGCCGATAGCGGCGAAGGCTATTCTAGTTAACAGTCTATAGGTGTGACAGTACTATGTTCTGCTGGTATCGCGCATTCCACCTAGGCTGTCAGTTTATAATTGGACCGTCCGGGTTAGTAAAGGGAAGATAAATTATAAACGATCGCCCATTGAACAAAGCAATTAATATTGAAGATATGCAATTGCAATAGTAGAATATAAGAATAATATTCTGACAACCAAGTAACCATAATCTAAGAGAACTATTGTGTCTATATTTTTGTAATACAATATGGACAGTTTTATTCAGTACAAGGCCTCCGGCCCACAATACATACAAAAGCATGATCATGCATGCGCATTTTATATCATATTTACAATTGTGTGTTTCTTTTTATATGTACATGATATGGGAAGAGTCTGACATTTCTGATAACATCACTGTTCTTACTCTGCATGATAGAAATAAAATTGTTAATTGTAGGATATTTACTGAAATATTAATTAACTCAGAGTAGGAGTGACATTCATAGAACATGTGCAATTCATCTTCAACAGCAGACAAACATTTAAGCTTGCATGACATTCAATATCTTTCATTATCAATTATATTTCCATTATCTGCCTGTGTCTCAACAGCAAGCTTAACATTGCAACATCAAAATCTGGAATAGGATTTTCTCAAATGTTGTGGAAGATCACTTATGCTTAAATACTTTTCAAGATTTGAAAGTGATGTAATCTGGTTATAGTAAAAACGCTTATGATTTGCAGGTGAGGATGCTTGCCATGACTGAAAGAGATTATCGTGTAATCTTTTCTTAAAAAGTGTGTTGAAGGCTGCTTTGTTTCTTTTTTCCTGACTAATCCAAGCGAATCCAAACCCACATTTAAACAGAATATTTCTTATTTATGTACCCCATGTATTACGGCCAACATCCTCTGAGGATATCAACATAATATAACATTGTCTTCGTAGCCTATTGTTTGATAAGTGAAATATTCTGCACCAATACTTAATTACCTTTGTCATATATACAAACTGCAAAGTCCCTCGTCCACATGCCCCAAGAAGCATGTTATTACACGTTGATTTATCAACCTTTTAACTAGGTTTGCAAGATTTAATATGCATAGGTTCAATAGGATTACAATATGTGGTGCTCCATATTTCAGAATCATAACACAGAATATGTGTTATCATACATATCCTAAATAGACCTTGACAACTAATGTTACCAAGTTTCCTTTTGGTAACTATTTCCTTAAAAAATATTGCCTTATTTTGCTTGGGATAAAAGAGAAGTCTGACCAACGTAGGGGTGAATACTAGTCCGCGGTATTTATATGAAGATACTGTTTCTATTGGTTTACTATCATAAACTCATTTTCATTACGACCTTAAGGGACCGCCATTCTAAACACAACAATCTTAGTTTTATTCAAATTTACTTTCGAGCCAGTGTGTTTACAAAAAAAACCTTTCAAGTACAGTAACAGGTGTCGGGCATTGCTAAGACATTATCAACATCATCAACAAGGGAGCACAAACCATTAGTAGAAAAGGTAACAGTAATACCTTGACCACCCACTCTGTCCATAAGGGTACATGTAATTGTTTATTGAGATAATAATTATTTATATATAAATCATTATACATAGACGTGTTTATTTCCAAAACTTCAGAGCGCAACAAAATAGTGCAGGAGAACATTATGTCTTAGAGTCAAATGTCTTTGAATCGTCAGTGAAGGAGCAGTAAAATCTGCCTCTTTTCTTACCAATGTATTTTTTAACTATGACCTGTAATGAACAAATGTTATCAGTAGTGGAGTATTGAGCCCTAACTCCAGCTTGTTGTTCATTAATAATATTATGATTCTCATACGAATTCTGTAGACGGCTGTTCGAAATAGACCTAAATACTTTAAATATTGAGTCTTTGAGAGAAATACATCTGTAGACTTGACTTGACTTGAAGAGAGGACATATAGTACCCTTACCCCAGCAATTGGGGAATCTGTCACTATCACAAATGCGAATAAAAAGGTGAGCAAAATGTAAGTAAAGGGTATAGTCAGATGCCAAGTAGCTTTTACAAATCTGGTCCTGGTCCAATAAAGGCTTCATGTCCCACCCATGTGTTCTCTGTCCATCATGTTGTGACAGTATTATCCTTCTGTTACTGTTAATCCTCTACTGTTAATCCTCCGCCTACTATGTATATACTGTACAATGTCCCCCATTCAGTCTTGCTTGACAACGGTATAAGGATCTAAACCGAAACGTCGCCTTTACAATATTAAAGAAGTTGTCATCCATGAATTGTGTCTACTTTGTCATCCGTCAACTTATAAGTAATGCCTATCAAACAATTCATTCTTATGGTGGCTTCAGTCTTCAGAGCTCAATAGCATGTATGTAGTCATCTGTAGGATGTTTAATGTATAATTGCAGACGCATGACGAAAGAACAGTCTACATATTCAGACATGTTGATGTGTCACGTACTACTAATCATGCTAGGTGAGTATATCTATTTAAAAATATATTTGTTATAATTTGAATACTTAACTTAACTTAATATGTGCACGAAAGGAAACTTTACAGGTTCTTTGCTTGAAAATAAACTACACTTACTTATGAATTTTATAAATAGAATATAGACAGTCATTTTTTGGATGGTTATTCGAACTATATTTTTGAAGATATATTCAGGAAGAAAATATCCTTGCTTAAAAATTTCCTTATATTACATTGTGTATGTTGCAGTATGGAATGTCAGGGGTGACCCAATATGTCCATGGGGCACATATGGAGATGCATGTGACAGAATCTGTTCTGACCACTGTCGCAGGTTTCCTGCTCGGGACATTGTATACTGTGACAGGACCAGTGGACGTTGTTCCGAGGGATGCATTCCAGGCTGGTATGATGCTACATGCAATAAAGAATGCAGCAAGAACTGTATCAACTACATCTGCAATCACGGAGATGGAGCGTGCACAGCAGGATGTAAAGACGGCAAAAAAGGAAACTTCTGTGAAGGTAATACAAAGATCCAATTTAACAGATCATACAATATATATGTACACATTCTCAAAATTAACCTCTCGCTGTAAATAAGACCCGCCATTTTTCCGACAACATCAAATATTCGGATTTTCATAAAAAGCAGCAAATAAACTAATGGCCAAAAGAAAAGATACCAACCATTTTGAAAAATATAATTTATAAGTGATTTATTTTATGATATAAGTTGCCGATGCACGTAATGCACGTGCAGATCAACTATATAAAACTGCTGACCCGACAGATAAGGAAAACAACAGCAAAAAGCCCAACAAAGAAATGGCACATTTAACTGCGATAGAGGGCCAAGTTTCCTTTTGGTAACTATTTCCTTAAAAAATATTGCCTTATTTTGCTTGGGATAAAAGACAAGTCTGACCAACGTAGGGGTGAATACTAGTCCGCGGTATATATAACAAGATACTGTTTCTATTGGTTTACTATCATAAAATCATTTTCATTACGACCTTAAGGGACCGCCATTTCTAAACATAACAATCCTAGTTTTATTCAAATTTACTTTGGAGCTAGTGTGTTTACAAACAAAAACTTTCAAGTACAGTAACAGGTGTCGGGCATTGATAAAACATTATCAACATCATCAACAAGGGAGCACAAACCATTAGCATAAAAGGTAACAGTAATACCTTGACCACCCACTCTGTCCATAAGGGTACATGAAATTGTTTATTGAGATAATAATTATTTGTGGACTTAAAACACATCCTTGACGGGTGCCAATGTTACAGGTAAAACACTTAGATATACCTTTAGGGGCTCTAACACAAACAGATAAATCATTATACATAGACGTGATTATTTCCAAAACTTCAGAGCGAATTAAAAGAGTGCAGGAGAACATTATGTCTTTGAATCAAATGTCTTTGAATCGTCAGTGAAGGAGCAGTAAAATCTGCCTCTTTTCTTACCAATGTATTTTTTAACTATGACCTGTAATGAACAAATGTTATCAGTAGTGGAGTATTGAGCCCTAAATCCAGCTTGTTGTTCATTAATAATATTATGATTCTCATACGAATTCTGTAGACGGCTGTTCGAAATAGACCTAAATACTTTAAATATTGAGTCTATGAGAGAAATACATCTGTAGACTTGACTTGACTTGAAGAGAGGACATATAGTACCCTTACCCCAGCAATTGGGGAATCTGTCACTATCACAAATGCGAATAAAAAGGTGAGCAAAATGTAAGTAAAGGGTATAGTCAGATGCCAAGTAGCTTTTACAAATCTGGTCCTGGTCCAATAAAGGCTTCATGTCCCACCCATGTGTTCTCTGTCCATCATGTTGTGACAGTATTATCCTTCTGTTACTGTTAATCCTCTACTGTTAATCCTCCGCCTACTATGTATATACTGTACAATGTCCCCCATTCAGTCTTGCTTGACAACGGTATAAGGATCTAAACCGAAACGTCGCCTTTACAATATTAAAGAAGTTGTCATCCATGAATTGTGTCTACTTTGTCATCCGTCAACTTATAAGTAATGCCTATCAAACAATTCATTCTTATGGTGGCTTCAGTCTTCAGAGCTCAATAGCATGTATGTAGTCATCTGTAGGATGTTTAATGTATAATTGCAGACGCATGACGAAAGAACAGTCTACATATTCAGACATGTTGATGTGTCACGTACTACTAATCATGCTAGGTGAGTATATCTATTTAAAAATATATTTGTTATAATTTGAATACTTAACTTAACTTAATATGTGCACGAAAGGAAACTTTACAGGTTCTTTGCTTGAAAATAAACTACACTTACTTATGAATTTTATAAATAGAATATAGACAGTCATTTTTTGGATGGTTATTCGAACTATATTTTTGAAGATATATTCAGGAAGAAAATATCCTTGCTTAAAAATTTCCTTATATTACATTGTGTATGTTGCAGTATGGAATGTCAGGGGTGACCCAATATGTCCATGGGGCACATATGGAGATGCATGTGACAGAATCTGTTCTGACCACTGTCGCAGGTTTCCTGCTCGGGACATTGTATACTGTGACAGGACCAGTGGACGTTGTTCCGAGGGATGCATTCCAGGCTGGTATGATGCTACATGCAATAAAGAATGCAGCAAGAACTGTATCAACTACATCTGCAATCACGGAGATGGAGCGTGCACAGCAGGATGTAAAGACGGCAAAAAAGGAAACTTCTGTGAAGGTAATACAAAGATCCAATTTAACAGATCATACAATATATATGTACACATTCTCAAAATTAACCTCTCGCTGTAAATAAGACCCGCCATTTTTCCGACAACATCAAATATTCGGATTTTCATAAAAAGCAGCAAATAAACTAATGGCCAAAAGAAAAGATACCAACCATTTTGAAAAATATAATTTATAAGTGATTTATTTTATGATATAAGTTGCCGATGCACGTAATGCACGTGCAGATCAACTATATAAAACTGCTGACCCGACAGATAAGGAAAACAACAGCAAAAAGCCCAACAAAGAAATGGCACATTTAACTGCGATAGAGGGCCAAGTTTCCTTTTGGTAACTATTTCCTTAAAAAATATTGCCTTATTTTGCTTGGGATAAAAGACAAGTCTGACCAACGTAGGGGTGAATACTAGTCCGCGGTATATATAACAAGATACTGTTTCTATTGGTTTACTATCATAAAATCATTTTCATTACGACCTTAAGGGACCGCCATTTCTAAACATAACAATCCTAGTTTTATTCAAATTTACTTTGGAGCTAGTGTGTTTACAAACAAAAACTTTCAAGTACAGTAACAGGTGTCGGGCATTGATAAAACATTATCAACATCATCAACAAGGGAGCACAAACCATTAGCATAAAAGGTAACAGTAATACCTTGACCACCCACTCTGTCCATAAGGGTACATGAAATTGTTTATTGAGATAATAATTATTTGTGGACTTAAAACACATCCTTGACGGGTGCCAATGTTACAGGTAAAACACTTAGATATACCTTTAGGGGCTCTAACACAAACAGATAAATCATTATACATAGACGTGATTATTTCCAAAACTTCAGAGCGAATTAAAAGAGTGCAGGAGAACATTATGTCTTTGAATCAAATGTCTTTGAATCGTCAGTGAAGGAGCAGTAAAATCTGCCTCTTTTCTTACCAATGTATTTTTTAACTATGACCTGTAATGAACAAATGTTATCAGTAGTGGAGTATTGAGCCCTAAATCCAGCTTGTTGTTCATTAATAATATTATGATTCTCATACGAATTCTGTAGACGGCTGTTCGAAATAGACCTAAATACTTTAAATATTGAGTCTATGAGAGAAATACATCTGTAGACTTGACTTGACTTGAAGAGAGGACATATAGTACCCTTACCCCAGCAATTGGGGAATCTGTCACTATCACAAATGCGAATAAAAAGGTGAGCAAAATGTAAGTAAAGGGTATAGTCAGATGCCAAGTAGCTTTTACAAATCTGGTCCTGGTCCAATAAAGGCTTCATGTCCCACCCATGTGTTCTCTGTCCATCATGTTGTGACAGTATTATCCTTCTGTTACTTACTCATGTTATCCCCCTCATGTATGCAATTGTTACTGTTAATCCTCTACTGTTAATCCTCCGCCTACTATGTATATACTGTACAATGTCCCCCATTCAGTCTTGCTTGACAACGGTATAAGGATCTAAACCGAAACGTCGCCTTTACAATATTAAAGAAGTTGTCATCCATGAATTGTGTCTACTTTGTCATCCGTCAACTTATAAGTAATGCCTATCAAACAATTCATTCGTATGGTGGCTTCAGTCTTCAGAATGGTCAAAAAGGGAGAGACGCACTCTGTCATTGTCGTGCGAAATATCCATAAAGTCAGAAAGCACGCTTAAAAACACCGCCACCGTCATTGCCAGAACGTTGGGATGCGCCAGTTTAACCGTTACCAGGTTGATGCAACGGTGACGTGAGACGGGTGATAACGCCCATTCAAGACCGCTATATCCGGACAATCGTCCTCTGAAACCGCTTCGTCACGGCGACGTTAACGGCAGCGATGGAACTGCAACACAGGATCAGTCGACAAACCGTGTACAGGAGATTACGAGCCTATGGTATCCGTACACATCGACCCGACCGAGGAATGTTGTTGACATGTCAACATCACCACTGACAGGCTTGAAAACGAAGCTCGTGGTTATGCATGGTATTCCAGCACGACAATGCGACGCTGCATACGGCATGGTTGACACAGAACTTCCTTAACCAAGCGAACATTCAGGTTTTACCAAGACAGTCACGCTCCCCGAACATTTATGGGACCATCAGAAGTCACCCACTGGCTCCGGTCAACCCCCAGCAATTGAACAATGCCTCCTGGACGAATCGCAACGCATTCCTTCCAACGTCTTCCGACATCGTTCGACGCGTCCTAATGCGACGCGTTAATGCGCAAGGTGGACATACCCGATGTTAAAGTGACATTATGATGAGTATTCTGACATTTTAAACCCCTGTCTCGTGATGTGTTATGACTGTGACTTTCATTGTTGATCCCACGCGTCTTTCTGGGCTTATCCGTCTGGATGTTAAAGTTTGATTGAATGAATTTAAGTTTACTTATATATGTTTCTTTTCTGTACAGCACAAACTGACCGCCGATTTTCGAGTATATTAAAAGATAAACGATACACAGGTGGCATAGACGTCTAAGGTGCCGCAATTCGCTGCGGAGAGTTGCGTCCACAGCCGCATCAGTGTATGTAGACTGTTGGCCCTAGTGGTGATGTTAAAGATCGTGAGCTTTACATCACAATAAGCAATACCCAGCCACAGGTCGAACATGCAACCAAGTGGTAGACAGCATGAGGAAGCACAGTGCCGCCGGTGACACTCAATCATCCATGAAATATGTATTATAACCACTCGATCTACAGAAATGTCTTTCTACCCATGAAATTCCTACAAGTATAGCTGTTGATGAAACATCCAGAAAGGTATTTAGCTACCAATGTTAACGTTGCAGAAAACCATATAATCATTTATTTTCGCGTTTCTGAGGCATTAAAAAAACCCAACTAAATAAATAAATAAATAATGTACTTTCAATTCCCTCGTCTTCTAGCTGTTGTCACATTTAGCGAGTCCGAAATATTGCTCAGGTCATATGTATCAAGCGTTTTCAAAGTGCGTGAACCCATGTTGCTTGCAGTTAGAGAAAGTGTACCACTTTTTGGGACACAAATAATGACTTTGTATAAAAAAATAGAGCAGTCATTTACCTTGTGGCTTACCTTACAAAATTGGTCATGTCTTCTTACCTTTGACCCTCGATTTCACCAAATGCAGTAATATCAACCATTCTTTTGAATTCATAAGGGGAAGAGTTGACGGTAAATAGAACAACATCTTATTTCTATCTAGTAATAACCGCCACAATTTGGGATATTTCCTGGCATGACAAACTAATAGTCTGTGGCCTCTTCTTGTATTGTCCAAAATGGCTACCTCTCTAAATTGTTCATGAATGAAAGAGGTTGTAGACAGGGTGACCCAATTTCCCCCTATTTGTTTCTTTTCGTAGCTGAAATTCTCGGTATCATGATTCGTAATAATGAAGATATAAAAGGTATACTTCTACACGATATTGAACACACATTGGGCCAATATGCTGACGACACCCAACTTTTTTTAGATGGCTCGGAAAAATCATTAAAATCAGCCATGGATACACTTGAAACTTTTTACAAAATCTCAGGATTAAAAATGAACTTTGAAAAAACCAAAGCAATATGGATAGGCAGTATGGCTGGTAGTAAAGTCCGATTTTGTCCTAACTTAAAGCTAGATTGGCATGATGGCAATTTTGAAGTTTTAGTGTTTTAATGTTGACTAAAAAGACCTTTGGGTAATCAACACTAAAAAACGCCTTGATAATATCTATGGTATTATAAGCAAATGGAAAAAACGTAATTTGACTTTGATGGGTAAAATAACAGTTGTTAAGACCTTAATTCTCTCTACCCTTGTACATATTTTTTCCGCTCTCCCAAATCCATCAAAAGCTTTTATTGATCAATTGAATAGAATTCTTTTTAACTTTGTTTGGAGTGGCAAAAGAGATAAGATTAAGAGGGATTATTTGAAAAGGAATTATAGTCAAGGTGGATTGAAAATGACTGATATACCCAAATTTATAGCATCTTTAAAAAATTCATGTTTAAAAATATATTGTGAAAAAAACATTAATTATGACCTTGCTAGTTTTCAGCTGGCTCATATCTACACTTTAGGTGCCAGTTTGCACAAGAATTGGGAAATTGTAAATCCGTTCTGGAAAGATACCCTTATAGCCTGGAGTGACTTTTTGCATTCATATGACTTTGAAGTCTTAGAAAAAGCAGAAATTGCTTCCCAACCCATATGGTTAAACCATTATTTTAGAGAACCAGTATTAATTTTTAATGACTGGTTTAAAAAAGGTATAGTTACGATAAAAGACTTGTATGATGAAAACGGATGGATCCCTTTCCCACGTTTACAACAACTTTATGATCTTAAAGGAACTTTTCTTGACTATAACCATATGTTTTTTAATATTCCAAGAAGTTGGAGACAAAATATTGATAAAAATCTACATTCCTCTTCTAATCTCACAGTATCTCCTTGTATTTATGATCTTACACGTTCAATTAAAGGAACAAAAGTGTTTTATAATAAACTGATAGGGAATTCCCTCCCTCTTCCTAAATCTTGTTTGAAATGGGAAAATCAGCTGGAATGTTCTTTTCCATGGAATCAAATTTTCAGTGTATATTGCCATGGGTTAAGGGATACAAAACTCAGGGATTTCCAGTTTAGATTTATTCATAAAGTAATATTTACTAAACGTGAGTTATTAAGAATGAAACTTATTGATAACGATGAGTGTTCTATGTGTCATACTCACAAAGAAAATATTTTTCATGTTTATATCGAATGTCATGTTGTTAAGAATTTTTGGTCAGATTTCTGTATTTACTTGACTCATATCTTGCATAGAAAAATCCTTATAACTGACAACGAGCTCCTCTTTGGTACCTCTGATGTATTAATTAACCATTTGATTGTAGCTGCTAAAAGACTTATTTTTGTCCAGTGTATTAAGAATGAAAATGTTGACTGTGTTGCTTTTAAGAACACAATAAGAAGTATCTATGACGTTGAATATCATATTGCACGTAGAAACAACGACTTCTCTGCCTTTAATAGAAAATGGGCTTTGTTTACTCAACCTGCAAAATAACTTATTCACTGGATGTTTGCAACATAATTTGATGTACCATAAACGCCGCATCGTCTTAATTGTATACATAAATATGCCTTCATCTGTACCATGATGTGGATTATGCCTTCATCTGTACCATGATGTGGATTTTGCCTTAGGCCTCCTCTGTACCATATCCTTTTGAGAAGCACCTGTATTCATAAAGTAGTATTGCTCTCCGAGCGATTATGTATCCTGTGTATATGACTGAATAAATTTTTTTTAAAAACAACAAACTAATAGTCTATGTATAATTTCAGAGGAACAACTTAACACAAAGGCGAAGGAGAGAACAGCAGACCTGTCCTTGATGAGTATCGCTATTGCAGCTACAGCTCTTATAATCATCATCATCATAATGATCTGTGCGGTGGTTGTATGGTAAGCATGCACCTACAAACAAATCGCTCTGTCTCCCATGTGTTTGATGTTCTCCCTGCGATGACGCTTTACATGTACACAAGCATATCAAATGAACAATACTATCCAAAACGCTTCCGATCAGCACCTTAGTGTTGAATAGTTTATGGTTGTGTGTACATCCATTTAATCAATGTCACAAACTATGCAGTAGCAACAATACGTAGAAGTACAACTGCAACATGCATGGCATCCCTTTTGTCTCTATAAATTCATACTTTAGACAATCGTGAGACTTCAGACGAAAAAAAGTTGATATTTATGAAGATAAAAACCTTATGGTGAGATTTATCGCATACTCATTGAACATCATAGCTGATGTTTGTCGATGTGTCTGGAAATGATAAACTTAAATTACGCAAGTGTGAAATATTCTTGTGCATTGAACAACCAGACATGTTCCTTCTTTATTTGCCTACAGAAAAGCTGTTTGGTAGTACGCTTCACCTACACTGTGAAAAATGCACCATTTACATTGAATGTGGTATAGTCCAAAGTATATTGTATATTATTATTACTTTACTTTCTGTGAGTTGCTTTGATACACGTTGTTGTTTATATATTTCCTTGCAACACCAAGTAGAACTTAGTTGTGTGGTCATTGTCAAGCTATGTATAGGTAAGTCCACGAGGGCCTAGTGTCTAATCGTTGAAATGGTTTATAAAACCACGAGGCGCGCATTCTAAAATTTTCTATCATGAAGATAAATAATAGGGAAAAAGAGAACTTCCGTCATTACCAAGTGGTGTTAAACTAGCAATTCACTTAGTTAGACTAATGATATCTAAACCTAAAGAGGAGCTAGTCAGCAAGCCAGATATGGGAAGTTAGAACAAGAATAAGAGGAACTCCAAGATTAGTAAGATATTTAGTAAATATTGTGTTTTGATACGTTAAGGACTTTGACTCAGAAATAGATGTGTTTATAATGAAGCTAGTTTTAACTAAATCCCAAGAGCAGCTAGTCAGCAAGCCAGTTAGGTAAAAGATTGAAACAAACAATTTTTTAAGTGAAAAATAATAAGATTCACCAACTTAACAAGATTAAATACTCACACCCGTAACATAATATTATATAAATATGGAAAAAGTAAATGAATGGTTATGTTGTTTGATGATGGCTAACACACAGCGTGTTGAGTTCGTTGAGTCACAGCCTGGAGTTACACAGGTCTTACTGACAGGGTCAGGAATAGACTGAACAACAGACGACTTGATTATGAACATCCAGTTGAAGTCTTTTACTGCTGGCGGTCCTGGCATTTTACATTGCGAGAAGTGTCAAATATATATTTGTCATCAGTTTCGTTATAATGTTAATATACATACCGCAATTTAAAATCGTTTTTTACAAATTATGTATTTCTTTTATTTAATTATTTGCTTCGTTCTTTTTCAGTTTGCGCCTGAAATGTAAGTGTAACATGCTTTGAATTAATTTACTAACACCTTTTTACTTCTCAAACTACATAAATAACAATTGAGCTAATCCAAAGGCTGGAAGGTGATAGTATCTCCCTATGCACTTCAGTCTGAGTAATAGTATATTATGATGATATTATTAGTGTGATTGGCTGAACTTTTCATATCTTTCACAGTGGAAAGTTATCACATTCCAGCAACGTGATTGGTTCCCTGTTATATTATGTAATTTGAGAACTATAGATTTACTACTGTTCATTCATTCATTCATTCGCAAATCGACAGCGACTTCATGACCACTTTAAGGGTTGAATTCTGGTGCTAAGAATATATGTGAATCCCAAACATTTACTTGCGTCCATTTTTTAAATTTATAAACATCGCCTGGGCAATGCCGGCAGGCTGTAGACACACTGTCAAAGGCCGCTTCGTTAGTTCTAGATAGATAGATAGATTGATAGATAGATAGATAGAGAGATAGATACATAGATACATAGATATATATTCTTTATTTCCTCCAGATATTGAAGATACATATTAGGTATGATATTATGTATAATTACAGAGCTTGTACAGTAGTACAATTTCACCATTGATATCTACAAAATGCATGACAATCAAGCATTCTTATAACTGTTCTGTTACAGATACAGCCATTTCCTACAGTATCTTGACACAATAACCATAAGGTCACCCCATAGACTTTGAGATAAAGAGCTAACACACTCAGGCACACCGCCAAGTAGTACAGACAGGACCTGGTCCGGTCACACAATATGCACTCTGCTCTAGTCCAACGTGTATATGGACAAATCACTGAAAAATTATGGTTACTGTCACAACGATATGTGCTCAGTAAATATCTAACCTGGGATCCGGGTCAGAATAGATCTTCAGCGACCTAGCTTTCCGTTAATTGTGACTGTGCTTGTCGTAAGAAGCGACTAACAAGATTGGGCGGTCAGACTTGCTGACTAGACTGATACATGTCATCGTATGATAATTGCGTAGAAAAAAAAATCTAATAAGCTGATACGTATGTCACAAGTTGGAGTTACGTATCGACCGGCTCGAAACACTTAATCCAGATTTTAAAAATCAAACACAAATCTCGATCACAGTGGTGCACTTTGTGACAGGTGAGTCACTGATCGACAAATATTGAAGCATTTCGCGAAAGGAGTAAGGTATTTGCGTTATTGTTGTATCACTTCATCAGTTGCCAATACTAGCCTGAATATATGTATCCTGAACATGATGAATTAATTGAAACAAGCAAATTCAAATCTGTTAATGACAATGAACAATCTAAGTGTTGTATCCACTTTGACAAATATCTGGTTCATACGCGTTTGCTACGGTTAATGTAAAATGTTTAGATGACAGGTCTGAGTGTTCAACTGTCCAACAGTGCATTTAATCTGGCATGATAGCATGCAACATGTACCTTTAACACAAAATGAATTCAATCATTACAACATTATGATGTATTCTATTTTCTCAGATAGGAAAAGACAAGGATTTATGGCAGGTAAGAGTAGAATTTACTGACAGATTGATCACGGCCTTGTTAAATGAAAGGGTAGATTATTTCGCTTTTACCTTTTTACTTTGTCAAAGTACCATTCATCAAGAGCACCTATTCTTGTTGAGAATGCAATTCTAAATTAGCTGTTAGTTTCATGGAGACATGTGTTGTGTCGCATGCGGAATCCAAACCATTATATAGTGTTAATATTGTGTATTTACATGTACATATAGACCCGGGAGGATCCGGCGAAAAATAGGTCTTCAGCAACCCAGGCTTGCCGTAAAAGGTGACTATGCTTGTCGTAAGAGGCGCCTAGCGGGATCGGGTGGTCAGGCTCGCTGACTTTGTTGATGCATGTCACCGTATCCCGATTGCATGGATCGATGCTCATGACGTTAAGCACATATAGTTTTGTAATTTATTTTTTAGTCTAACGGTTGAGTTAATATCTAGATGCATAGCCACCACATCATAGAACTACCAGTGATGAGTGAGTACTGTTTTACACAGCTGTAAGCAGTATTTCAGCAATATCACGACAGGGAACAACAGAAATAAGGGGTAGCGACTTTACATCTTGAATCAGATTTAACTGCATGTCGTACTTTTCTCCTCAGTGAAAACATGGAATACCCAGGACCTCGGAGGTGAGATAAATAGCAGAAACACAGCGTCATGATGACTTCTTTAGTAAAGGCTCAATGGGAAAAAATAGTTGTGTAAAAATGTTTTTGTCGTAATATGGTCACAATGGACATTGGTGTCACAATCGTGTGAAGCACCACAATTCACTATGCACTTTTATCCCTTAGTCATGACAATATCCTCTGATCTTAAGTTCGCATCACATATTTGTCCTGATTACGTTGTTGTATTGCCAGTAAATGTGATATGCCACGCGGTAACTGACATATTGTATAACGTGGTAGTCATTGATTCCTAAATGATTCTTTCTTTTGTACTCTAGATTTATATCACTTGAGCTGTTTAACCTGCAACTGCTTTCCATGTGATTAAAAGTACACATTATCCTTATGTCAACACAGGGTTACTCAATACTCCCGATCCTAATGAACCACTCCATAAGGCCAGCGCTGAGGGGGATCTGGACCGCGTGAAACGGATCATGAATGGTGGTTTATTCAATGTAAAAACCCGAGGGTTGTATGGATTGACACCGCTGATGTTGGCAGCAATGAACGGACACTATAATGTCTTTGAATATCTTCACAGAGAAGGAGCTGATATGACATTAAGGGGTCGTGATGGGGACCACATTCTTAGCATGGCCTGTGTGGGGGGCAATATAGACATAGTAAACTATGTTGTCTTAAAGGAACCTTTCCTTAACATGAACTTAGGGAGAACAGATGGACGAACGGCGTTAATGTGGGCAGCACGACATGAAAATAAGACCATATTTGACTATCTGCTGAAAAAGGGAGATAAATCTGAGGATATCGAAGGAGATGGCGTCCTTCATTAACCCTGCTATGGAGGACACATTGGAATCGTTATGGATGTCATCGCCAATACCTTAATTGACATCAACAGTAGTGACATGTATGGAAGGACAGCAATGATGGTGGCAGCTGAGCACGGACATATAGAGGTGTTTGACTTACTTGATAGGAAAGGGTGTGACATATCACACATAGATAAGGAAGGTAACAACATACTCCATGTGACATGCCGTGGAGGACATGTGGAGATGGCTGAGCATGTCCTCTCACTGGGAGATTTTGACATCAACTGCAAAGGGCAGTATGACCGCACACCACTGATGTTGGCAGGACACAGAGATGAATGTGACCTACTTTGTGAAAAGGGAGCTGATGTATCACTACGAGGGCCATTCAATATATAACCGGCCTAACCTATTTGCTACTGCTCCTCACTTCTTCTTTTTCCACATAATCACCATTGAGGTCTATGCACTTTGTCCAGCGATGTGTGAGAGCTAAAAGCCCGTTGTGATAGAAACCATGGGGTTGTTCGTGTAACCACCCCTCCACTGCTGTCGTGAGTTCATCATCGGACCGGAAATGACGTCCACGCAGTTCTTTCTTCAAGTTTGGGAAGAGAAAGTAGTCGCTTGGAGCCAGGTCTGGAGAGTAAGGTGGGTGAGGCAATACTTTGAACCCGTTCCGCTTCACTGCGGCAACCGCAAGTCGACCGGTGTGCACTCTGGCATTATCATGTTGGATCAGCACACCTTTTGTGATCTTTCCACGACGTTTGGCAAGATTAGCAGTCCGCAAACTAAATAGGAACATTTGCTCGTGGGATGGCAAACTTTCATCTCCAAAATGCAAAAACTGGAATTTTAGAGTTCATCGTTTTTTCTCTGAGAACGGTGATGTTAATCTATGTTCACAAGATCATGTTCCACCATCAGCAATATGTTACCGCAGTGTCTTATCTAAGTTACGGTATATCGTAGCACCAATAAGACTTGAAAGAGAACATATTTCTTTGGAGAAACGTGTGTGCACCCTGAGTATGAACTCCAGCATTCAAGGCGAGATGCATGTATTGATACATATATGCTGTATCAATATGCCATATATTAATATTCTCACTTTATGTGATGTATACACGCTTTAAGCAAGTGTCATCTATCAATACTTTTATTCGTCTACAGATATTAACAAGCTCTTATCATATTTTACCAATATTCACATATGTTTAAATGTGCAGTATATAATAATATTCACACTTTATATGATGTATACACCCTTTAAGCCAGTGTCATCTATCAGTATTTTATTCGTCTACAGATATTGACAAGCTCTCATCATATTTTACCAATATTCACATATGTTTAAATGTGCAGTATAAAATAATATTCATTATAAAATATTAGCAATTAGTTAAACCATCCGAGGAGGTACATTCGAAGGTCAATGTCACTAGTATAAAAAATGCTGCAAATGCACATACAACTATCATTACTGGTTCTGTGTATGCTTAGTAAAGACCTCTAGAATATGTAAAGAAACAAACAAATAATCTGCACAACAAGATCAATTTAACTGCTCCCTCTCAAAATAGATAAGCAGATGATACAGTGGAATCAACCTCAAGGAGACACATAAAGGTATAAGGTCAGTGACGGTCAATACATAGATCATGTGCCGACACTAGACTCGAGGACAGTGTGGTCAGTGACACTCAGTGACAGTCAATACATAGATCATGTGCCGACACTAGACTCGAGGACAGTGTGGTCAGTGACACTCAGTGACAGTCAATACATAGATCATGTGCTGAGACCAGACTCGAGGACATTGTGATCAGTGACGGTCAGTGACAGTCAGTACATAGATGATGTGCCGACACTAGACTCGAGGACAGTGTGGTCAGTGACACATTGACAGTCAATACGCAGATCACTTAGTGGCAGTCAATGCACAACTGATGAAAAGCTGATTGGTAATTGTATCTTGGTGGAAACTTACATGTCCTTTGATTTTGAAATTGCTGTCAGTCATTGACAATGTCTCCTGGACACACACGAAGGCCTGAATCCTTTGACATGATTTGCCTAAAATTACTAACATGACACCACTACAAATCTATATAATCTTCTTTGCATTAAATATAAAAAAGTGAACGCCAAAGAAACATTTTCCATTTGGCGTAAGAGGAAAATGAGCGGTTACAAATATGCGAAAGAATCACTGAAAATCAGTGATGACACCAGGTGTTCGCGAAAAGAGGAAGTATGCCCCACCCTACCAGAAACACCCGCCGCCAAACACAATCTGCTGTAAAAAGTAAGTGTTTGTTGCCTGACGCCACACAACAGTACTCCTAGAACTAGATAGTCATAGGAATTGCCTCAACTAGGAGTTTGGACGAAAGGTGAGGTATCTTTTTGGGACAAGGGGAGGTGAAATGTGCATGAAGGAGTAGTCTCCCTTTCTCCGTCTCCGGTGAGCTATGTTACACCTCCCACACTGTGGCAGTGTTGATATGACGGATCTTACTGTGACTTGCGTAACCCGCACCCCGCATGTGTTGTCAATACATCATTAACGACTTGTGCAACGTACCTGAGCCCAGAGGAGTAGCCTCCCTTGGATCGTCTTCGGAGAGCACCACTACAACTCCCACACTGTGACAATATCGTTTTGCCTGAACTGACCGTTAACTGTATCCAGCATGTCGGCTGTCAATGCAACATGACAGAGTAGCCTCCTTTGCACTGTTTAAAGAACGCGGACATATATTCATCGTGACAGTCAGTGGTTCTGTGAATGAGTGAGTGAAAAAGGTTATTGAAAAGTCCAAATCTAATACGGCGCCAGGACCTGATGGTATTGGATACTGTTGCCATGTGTCAAGGTAGAAGAGGGGGGATCGAGAGGTTACATATGGATGGAGTTATTGACCATCTCGTCGAAGGTCAGGCTCATACGATATAAATAGATTATGGACAAACTCCAGAATGCCCATATCAAGGAAAAACTTCGGGCAGAGTACAAACGTCATATACATACATATATCGCCACATTAAACACATGCAGTGTCATCACGTTAGTCATATTTCACCCAAAATAAGTGGAGTTACATCCTGACCCTGTTAGGATCTACCTGCCAGTATTGCCTGTGTATACTGAATATCAGCCCCGGGTCAGATAGCACCATGGACTGTGAACAGTCACCGCTTGTGCAGTCATACCAACTTTGTAGCAGTGTGTGCATGAGTTAATGCTTGGCATACGTGGTACAAGGGATGATCAGGTTCAGGTACACGATACTGGCAGCTAATTTACGTAGCCCATGTGAGGGTAATCAGAGACTGCATCGGGTACGTTAGGGAGAATAAACATTCATTTACAATTTCGGGCCTGATACTGTTGGAACTTAGGGTTCATACAACGGCGTTTGACGAGTGTTGGCAGTGGGCTCACCAGGGTCACGGCGCATATATAATTTTAGTCGTCGTAGATAATCATGGATGTTTTGTTCTGTCAGATGTGCATACATCGGCATTGCTTTGTAACAATGCTGCTTCAACAATTTGACATTTACTCGTTGTATTTCTGGCCACCCTACTGCTTTCACTCACTCAAAAAGTGTGATTTCCTGTGCCTCCCCCTGGGGCAAGTCCCGTCGCCAATTTGGTGGATTTGTTTTCCGAACGGAGGCTGACTGGGCTGCGGAGTTACAAGATGAGTTTCTCCTGGGCTTGGCTTTCTGTAACCAAGTTTTGAAGCAGCTTCGAGGGGTTAGCCCTAACTGGTCGATGTACGTTTAGTTCAGGGGAATACATCCTCCCTATCTAGGCCCACCACGGAGAGGCGTACATCACCGGGCCTAATTATTATTTTTATTCCTATTAATACTGTAAGTACTGATAATATTACAAAACATTAGTATTACTGTTAGTGTTACAAATACTGTCACGGAGATAAAAAGTATTATTTTAAGATATATAATGTTATTATCATTATTATCTCCTAAACTGACTCACTCACTTACACAATTTCATTCGCCATAGAGCAAAATATCGCAAACACTGTTTTGCTGTGATCCATGCGTACAATTTTCATCAATGTTTTGCTTTTTTTGCCCAACGGAATCTGTTGGCATATATTAGAAACTGATTATTCTCTGGCGTTGACGTTTGATAGTCACCTTAATGTCATGATCTGACTTTACTATCACAGGTTCTATTTCCGTGCACCACCGCTGTAACACTGAAGAGGCCACATCCATCTGTACCCGCTTTTTAACATGTCAAGGTTGTGTGACACACATTCACCAAAAGGGAAATACAAACTGAATTAACAAGGCAACTAAATATAAATTAGTTTCATCCCAGATCATCAAAATATTTACATCTTAATAACATACATCAGGATATGGGGAAGTTAGCACAGTTGCATTTCCGTCACGTGAATGATTTGAAAACTAGATTATAATATCCTGAAGATGTTGATCATGTCCTAATATAAAGGTGTACGTCGTGGGTGAGTTAAAATAGCCTCGGTTGCTGGCAGATCAACTGACTCATATTCATGGTGGACGGAGAGTTGAAATAGTTCTCTCCACGCATGGCTATGTCGGAAACGTGTACGCTCGTGTATCTGATTGGAGTAAGGGGGTTGTAACATCCATATATGTACGAGTCATTGTCAAAATGTCAATCATTGGGATCGACACACTTGAGTATCGGTGTACATTCCTTTGAGCTTTCTGCTCCACGATACAAAGACGAGCTGACATGTTATACGCGTCATTAACATGCCACCTGGCGTATAAATGCTGTATTGACATCTTTCATACATTTCATGAGTTATACACCAAAATAGTACACGGAAGCGTTGTGATTTTACTACAGCATGACTTCCTTGTACGTAAACTATAGGCAGATGACAAACGAGGAATAAATGTGCGAGATTGTCACTGGTCAGGATTTAGACGCGTGTTTTTAACTTCCCTGTTCAGTGACCCATTACATCCAATTACATCAATATCTTTAGGTCGTATGAACTTGATGTCGATGGAATCCAAGGGAGGCCAAATCCCTTTGAAAACATATTTGAGTCGAACACATATAAGTATTCATGGTTAGACAAACAATATTAAGTAATTAAGCCCAATACTGGTTCCTTGAGACACAAATACAAACACAGCAGTAGAAATTCATCACCCGTGCCCTCTACCCCAATAGATGTATGACGGTTATGATGGCAGATGTTGGAGAGGGAACTGCATGCTCTACGTTTATGTTCCGTCAAACAGAGTAGAAAACACTCACTAACACTCAAGATAGGCGATTTATAATTTAAGGAAATCTAATCGAACACAAATATGTGATAATGTCATGTATTTCAACCTCACAGACTGAGAAAGGGGTTTGGATCATTAATGTCTTCAATAGAAACATGGAAAGACTCAATGCCATGTTCAGTGAAAAATTAGAACAATCTCGAAGACAGGTGATGTTTTTACCCTCATGGTGATTAATACGAATAATGTTTTAACAATGGAAACACATCTGAGTTACTCGAGAGTGCACCAGACACAGTTGGGATACATGTGGTCCTTTTGACCAAGCGCAAGTACATTTATCTCTTTTGTCGGCAATGAAGAATTGACTGTCACTTTGTGCGGGTCCATTGGAGTATGAACCTTCATTGAGTGAGACCGCCACCTTGGTCAAGCGTCGTCTGCCCAGAGAGCATAAGGTCGGGGTTTGATCCCTGGCCGCGTCATACCAAAAGACATTAAAAGATGGTGCTTGTTGTTACACTGCCTGTAATGGTTGGCATGGTATGTCAGAGGGTTGGCACTATACAATCGGCATTAGTCCGGACTACTACAAGCAACCACATACACACACACACGAGCATGCACCTATATAAGTGCGACCGCCTCCGTGGTCTTGTGGTAGAGCGTCCGCCCGGAGAGCGGAAGGTCCAGGGTTCGATCCCGGGCCGCGTCATACAAAAAGACGTTAAAAGATTGTACTTGTTGTTACCCTGTCTGGCGCTCGGCATTAAGGGGCTAAAACAAGGACTGGTCGGCTCGGAGTCAGTATACTGTGTCTGAGTGGGGTATTCATGTTAAACTGCGGCATGGTATCTCAGTGAGCTAGCACTATAAATCGGCATCAGTCCGGACTAGTACAAGCAGCCACACACACACATACACGTGCATGCACGTCGCTATATAAGTGCAATAATCTTGGACGCGACGTTAAACCCAATTTCACCTCACCTCACCTCACCTATATAAGTGCAATGGTCCTGAACGTTAGACCGGGTTACAGCCATCGTGGAAGTAGATATTGAATCTGCTGTCATGTGAGAACAGCATAACCTTATTGCGTTGAGGAAACATTATAGCAACGGCGGACACCCAGACTTCCTTTCACACAGCGATTTTAAGTTCAACAATCACACTCGCTTTCACACAGAGATCTCCAGTTGGCTAA